ATTGTTGTTTGGCGGGTCCGGGCTGGGGATTCGAACTCGCCACCTTAGGTGTACGTGGCTGGCGCCTTAGCCGGTTGAGCTATAGGCGCCGAGCCACAAAGGTCACTTTCTCATGGGTCTAGGAACCAAAATGTGCTTGGGTCCTCAAGAGAAGAGGAATTTACCCAATGCATACAGGTGTCTAATGGCACAGATGAAACCTGGGCTCATGGAAGGCTTTCAAGTCTAACCTGAGGTTCCTTATAAAAAGTTCCAGCAAACCAATTAAAAAAAAAAGCCTAGATGGCTAATAATTATTCTTACTGCAATTTATGCAAATAATCAGACCCATTATACTGAAGATAGTTTATTTTAGCAACTAAGTTGTGTTATAATTTGTTTTTAGTAAAAAGAGAAATTGAAGAGAGAAAAAAATGGTTCAAAGAGAAAAGAGGCTGTGGCCACCTGTATTAAGTCCCAGCCTTGTCTGTAATGTCAGCTCATAAAATGAAACATAACTTTTTTACTAAACTGATCTGTTAAATGTAATTAATACACTGGCCAACGAGTATAGAATTATACACAGTAGTCATAGTTCCTCTAAAACCTTAACACTCAACAAGAATTGCCTGTTGACCACACTAGAAAATTTGTGCAGTATTAAACATTATCTGCTGTGTCTATAAATACCTCAGGAAAAATTGGAACCTGAATGAGAATTTCCCAATAAATAATATAACTGTAACATGGCCTCATAGATAGCCCCATACCCAACTGGTATTCAAGAATATTCTCTTGAATTATCCAAACTTTGAATCAGTTCTATAGAGACTCTTAAAACTATGTATTATCCTTTTTTTTATTTTTTATTTGATTTTATTATTATTTTTTTTTTAGAGACAGAGTCTCACTTTATTGCCCTTGGTAGAGTGCCGTGGCGTCATAGCTCACAGCAACCTCCAACTCATTGGCCCAGGTGACTCTCCTGCCTCAGCCTCCTGAACAGCTGGGACTACAGGTGCCTGCCAGAATGCCAGGCTATTTTTTGTTGCAGTTTGGCCAGGGCTGGGTTTGAACCTGCCACCCTCGGTATATGGGGCTGGCACCCTATCCACTAAGCCAAAGGGACTGCCCAAAACTATGTATTATCTTTAAAACTATGCTAAGTTTATAAATAAGAATACTAATGTTCTCATTATGTAAACCTTAGCCTTGAAATCCAGAACTTGAAAATGTTTGTAAGTAATTGCTAAATAGTTTCATTCTCTTACACTAAACCCAATCTTAACTTTATCTCTATCAGTAATAATTAACCATGTTCTATTTAATACAGTGAAAATGAAAAAAACCCTCACCTAAATTCCTCATAGCCAACTAAAGAAAACTTCACTACCCCATAGAAAGCAAAAGTGACTTTTTTTTTGAGACAGAGCCTCAAGCTGTCCCCCTGGGCAGAGTGCCGTGGCATCTCAGCTCACAGCAACCTCCAACTCTTGGGCTCAAGCGAGTCTCCTGCCTCCGCCTCCCAAGTAGCTGGAACCACAGGCGCCTGCCACAACGCCCGGCTATTTTTTGGTTGCAGCCGTCATTGTTGTTTGGCGGGTCCGGGCTGGGGATTTGAACCCGCCACCTTAGGTGTATGTGGCTGGCACCCTAGCCCGTTGAGCTATAGGCGCCGAGCCAGCAAAAGTGACTTTTAAAACATTCAACATGACCTGTTCCAGCCACATACTGAGAGCTGGCTTGTCCACGTATGGCTAAAGCCTGAGGAAACTGCTCGTGGAACTTGTCCTAATTAAACTTTAAACTTTGAGAAAAGAGGAAAAAAATATATTATCTAACTACCCGCCACTGAGTCAATAGTTTGGCCCAGTCTCCAAACAAATAAACAAAATAATAGGGAGTGTTAGGCCTAGGCTAAAGTAGAAAAATACCAGTTAATTCCTGGCAAATTTCTGGCTGCAAGCCCTGAACAAAATGGACTAAGTCTGGTTTACTCCCATGATAGATGGGAAAGTACTCACTAACTTCTTGCTTGAAGTTAGAAAGTCCTCTGAGAAACAGACCAGGAAGTACCAGGTGTCCCCAGACTGACCTTTAAGAAATACCAGGTGGCGAAAGTATTAAAACAAAGATGTATGATGTATGACTAACCACAAAATACTGCAATCTACGCCTTAAAAACCTGACCCTTTAAGCACTTGGTGCTGTTCTCAGAAACCCCATGTTGGGATGCTGAGGTAGTTGCTAGCCAGCTCTTCAATAAAAGGACTCCTCTTTAAATTTAACTTGTTTGGCAGTGTGGTCTTTGTGGAACTCCTGGGTACAGCAATAGCTTACTATAACTGTGAATTTCTGGACTCAAGTGATCCTCCTTGCCTCAGCCTCCTGAGTAGCTCAGTCTACAGGCAGGAGCCACTTTGCTCAGCTAATTTTTTTTCCCCCAGTGTCACTTTTTTGTAAAGACAGGATCTCCCTATGTTGCCCAGGCTGGTCGCAATTTTCTGGCCTCAAGAAATCCTCCCACCTCAGGTTCTCAAAGTGATGGAATCAAAATGTGAGCCATCATGTCTGACCCACTTTATTTCTCTAACTAATTACAAATGAAAGAATTTTTGAACCTATCTATAACCTGCAAGCCCCTGCTCTAAGATTTCCTGCCCTTTTGGGTTAAACCAATGTGTACCTCCCATGTATTGATTTATGATTTTATAGCTGGGCATGGTGGCTCATTCTTGTAATCCTAGCACTCTGGGAGGCCAAGGTAGGTGGATTGCCTGAGCTCATAGGAGACCACCCTGAGTTCCCTGACATGTGCCTGTACCATGAAATAAAAGGCTAAACTATCTAGGAGAGTCGGTTCCCTGCCTACTTGGTTTTTTGTTTTCTTTTTTCTTTTTGGCCCCCTTACTTCTGTCCTTGATTGTCTCCATGAATATGTTTCCGAAATCTGAAATGCTCCAAAGTCTGAAACTTGAGTGGGCTGACATGACACGCATATGGACATGCTCATTGGGAATGTTCAGGATTTTTGAATTTTAGATTAAGGATGCTCAACTGGTATATGTATTTTGTATCCAAAAAAAAATTCAAAATCCAAAGCACTTCTGGTCATAAGCATCTCAGAAAAAGGATACTCAACCTGTATCAAAGATAGTTTCTGTTTTTCAAAGTATTCTCTTTACTTAATAAAATTATAAGTTACTGCCCTATCCTAAACTTGTTTTTACAGGGTTATATGTTCAACATTTTGGATCCTTTCATCCTAAAACACATTGCTATTTTGAAGTGTGTGCCCCTTAGTGGTTCTTTCCACATTGCTTAACTCTCTTTAAAAGATTGCAAAATCTTAGTGTAACTTTGAGTTTCCCTAAACTATATTCCACTGGAAAGTGTGTTTGACAGGATTCTGGTATCATATGACAGAAAATGAACTGGATTTGGCTTTAAGCTCAAGGGAAATTTATTGGCTGATATATATAAATAAATGTTATAAATAGTTTTAGCCAGATCAGACAGATGCAGGTATTCACCTAATGTTACCAGGAATCTAGTTCCTGTCATTCACTTCTGTGTGGGGTTGCTTCTCAGTTAACTTGTCTCTAAAAAGTAAAGTCTTAGTTTCAGCTTAGCAGAAGTGGTGGACATACTTTTGGTAGTATTTCTAGCAGATGTCCCAGGGCTGATGCTGATTGATCTAGCTTGAGTTATATGTTTGTCTCGTAACTGGCCAGAGGAAAAACTGGCTTTTTATAGAGAAGGACTGGGGCATGTGTCTGCTACTCCACTTCCCAGCCAGGGGTGGAGGTCACATAGGAACTGAGAATGGGGAATTGAGAGATGCCTGAGGGAAAATCAATGTGCTGTTACATCAAGAACAAGAAATTAATGTTAGGTAGGCAAAAATAACAGCTGTCTACTGGAGAGATCAAATAACTGGGGACTTGGTCTCATCTGGAGATCCACAACACTTACTATCACCATAAAGGCTCTGAGTCTAAAGATGAAAACACACCAGCTCATTTGGCAGGGGATAGTCCCAAAAAACTGTTTTCTCTTATACTTGATGTTCATGTAAAATATACTTGCTAAATTGTCTTCTGATTTTATTCTCCTTTTAATCTGAATTTAGAATTGCAAATGTTTGAAACCTAACAAGGCTAGAGATTTTCTGCTGACTTGGATGAGTTTGGTATTTCTTCTAACTGTATTGGAATTCACCTTTCAGACACCCCTCATTTATACAGTAGAACCTCCATAGTGACCACCTCCCTACATAAGTTGACCTAATTTTCATAGATTGGACATGCACCACATGTATGTGTCAGTAGAGTAGGCCTAGTTCTTACATCCACCACCTCCATATGCTGACCAGCTTGTTACCGTGTTTTGGGTGGTCAACTTACGGAGGTTTTACTGTATTACTGACTTGATACCTACTGAGGTTTTTGGACAGGGACTATAGGAAGAAATGAGCAAATAAAAATAGCATGAGAACAAGAAGTCATTCTGAAGGACTTCCGTTTCTTTATTTCTGGTGGTGTTTCACCTCTATTAGAACTAGTTCTGCCCAGCCAAATTAAGGAATAAAGGAAAGTAGCTGAAGCTTATAATTGGGTGGATTAGATAGAGAGTGTATCATGAGCAATAGTAGTTAGAATGAAAAGAGGCCCCCGACTCTCAAATAAGTCAAACTGAAGTCTGATCCTTATTCTGATCGTGGAGTTGTTGCCTCCATCTCTGATAGAAGCACTATTACAATTGAGATCTCACATGTCTGTAGAGGATTAAGTAGAAACTCTGTAGGTGTATGGGGCAAATGACTGGAGATTAAGAGTCTGAAAGTAATTTTAGAAGTGAATTTTTAGGTTTTAATAAGTTTAGATACTACACTGTGTCTAAAAAAATAAAATAACTTTATTGTTGTAGTCTTTACAATAAAAATAGTTGATAATTTAGGATCTTGGTGTTTGATTTTTGTTTTAATCATTAGTGTTTTGGGCTTTTTTAAGGGCTTGTAATTTGTAATTCAATCTAGTAATAGTTGTTTTGAGTTTAAATCACTTGTTCTTCGGGCCACTGAAGCAGGGCAGAGATCATATGTAAGAAGATATGATTTCATGTTTTCTGTTTTCATTATGGGATAGGTTAATATTCAGGTTAACAAGAAACCTGGTTCAACTTAGAATCCAACTATTAAAGAACCAGAAGCCAGGGCAGCACTTGTGGTTCAAAGGAGTGGGGCACCAGCCTCATATTCCGGAGGTGGTGGGTTCAAACCGAGGCCGGGCCAAAAACTGCAAAAAAAAAAAAAAAAAAAGAACCAGAAACCACTGCTCATGGAAATGATAATAGTCATGTCAGTGTCATTGTTTTTGTTTGGTTTGTTTAAGATTATTTCTCTCCTTTCATGTATTTATTGTTCCCCAAACCCCCTGTTATTTCAGATATATGAGAAAATAGGAGAAACTTATTTCTGGTGACCTGCCCACCAGTGATGAGAAAAGACAGTCCAATATGAAATTACTCAAAATAGGACTCCTTTATAGAGTACTTAAATAAATGAATGTAATATACAACTTTAAAAAAACTTGAAGTTTTGATAGAATTATTTGATGTTTGTGGGAGGGTGTGTGTTTTAAAGTGAGTATTTCTTAAAAATCAGAAATTATTCCAGATTGGAATTTGACTTTACTAGAATTAGAATGCCTGTTCATTGATAGGATAGCACCCTTTCATAAATTGTACTCTTCTGTTATCGTCTATTTTACAGAAGAGAAAACAAAAGTGCTTTAGTAATTTATACCTAAGACCATTGGAATCTAAGGCCCACGTATTTTTTGTATATCAAGCATCGTAGTGAATTAACTATTAAGTTCAATATTATTATCTTCAAATCAGGAAATAAAGATGTTTATAACTTAGTTATCCTTTTTTACTTTGTTTAGTTTATTTAGAGATCTGTTTGGAGGTTATGGATGACAAGCCCAATCCTAAAACCTCAAGTGAGAGTTCAGAGCGTCTCTTCTCCTTTGGAGTTATTGCAGATATTCAATATGCTGATTTAGAAGATGGCTATAACTTCCATGGAAACAGGCGGCGATACTACAGACACAGTCTTGTTCACTTACAGGGTGCCATTGATGACTGGAATACCCAAAGCAGCACACTCAGTTGTGTCCTTCAGCTTGGAGATATCATTGATGGGTACAATGCCCAGCATAAAGCATCAGAAACGTCCCTAGAACTTGTTATGAACACATTCCAGAAGCTTAAAGTTCCAGTTCACCATACATGGGGAAATCATGAATTCTATAACTTTAGTAGAGATTATTTAACAAACTCTAAACTTAACACTAAGTTTCTAGAGGACCAGATTGCACATCATCCTGAGACCAGGCCTTCAGAGAATTACTACGCTTATCATTTTGTACCATTCCCTAAATTCCGGTTTATTTTACTGGATGGTTATGACTTGAGTGTCTTGGGAGTGGATCAATCTTCTCCAAAATACCAGCAGTGTATGAAGATTCTGAAGGAGCACAATCCAAATATGGAATTGAATAGTCCTCAAGGTGAATTATTCCTTTGCGCTGAGAATCTAATACATTGTCTTTAATTCTTCAGCTACCTTTTATTCAGCAGGAAGATGGACAATTAAGGTAAAAGTATATTGTCGCTATTGTTCAGGGTCAGGATTTCTCACAGGCCTGATCCTTTATGGATTAATCACAGTTGATTCAAGATGGATTTATTTAACACATATTGAATGCCTATTCTAGGCCAGGCACTTTTTCTAGGATTAGCTGTTTAGAGCTGTAAACAATACTGACAATATCACTTTTTTAATGAGTGGAATGGAGGGAACAAAAGCCACAGGTGGGCAAGACAGAAATAGGTGAAACAGAAACAAAGATTATTTGTACCAGTACCAGTGCTACCAAGAAAATAGAGTATGGTGTAATAGAGTGTTACAGAAAAGGACCAGGGGGAGGGAAGTATTTTAGATTGGGTAATCAGAAAAAGCCTCTCTAAGGAGAAAAACTTGTAATACTTAAATGACAGGAAGAAGTCCTTGGAAAGAATGGGGTCAAGGGCTAGCAGACAGGGAAAAGTAAACGTAAGGCACAGAGTGGAGTGGGACTTCAGCATCATTGAAGAATACAGAAAAGGGCCAGTGGGGTATAAGATAATTTTGGAGAGTCAAAGGGGGTAAGAATATGTCATAGTTCAGTGGCTGTAGTGAGGAGTCTGTTTTGTTTTCAGTGTAGTGGCAAGCAAGCAGGGGAATGTCAAGATTAGGAGTGAGATGTGGTGTGGTTTATTTAAATATTGCTCTGGCTTCTTGATATTTTGAGTTGTTTGCTTCTAATCAGATATTTCTAAGGAAGAGAACAAGTGTCCCTGTATTAGCTAAGTTTGAATTTCCAAATGAGGGGGAAAATGGCATTTGATGGGTCTAACATAATACATCAATTTATTTCAGGACTTTCAGAGCCCCACTATGTTCAGTTTAATGGAGGATTTAGCCAAGAACAGCTGAACTGGTTGAATGAAGTTCTTACATTCTCTGACACAAACCAAGAAAAAGTGGTGATTGTGAGTAAGTATTTAAATTGTCTATCTGATTACACTAGCATTTTAGAGATGGAGAAAAGTTAGGCATTAAAACATACTAACAATATTTATGTTTTGATATCCTTTTTCTATAAAATGGATGCTTAGGTTTAAAATTTTTTATTGAGAAACAACCTGAATATAAAATTAACAGGTAAGGATAAATCAGGAAAGAATTGTAAAAAAAAAAAAAAAGAAAATTTTGTCATATATTAGAATGTGGTCTTTTGGGTTTCAAAGTAAAATTTCCCCAAATGGGATCAATTGATGTTATTTTATTTTTAATTAATTAATTTTTTTTAGAGGCAAGGTCTGACTCTGTCATGAACTTCTGGGCTCAAGTGATCCCCCGCCTTAGCCTCCCCAGTAGCCAAGACTACAGGTGCATGCCACCATGCCCAGCTACTTATTTTTACTTTTTGTAGAGATGGGCTGGCTTCAAGTGATCATCCTGCCTTGGCCTCCCAAAGTGCTAGGATTACAGGCATGCAGTAACCTAGACAGTACTTTTCAACTGAGAGATTCAGTTCAGGTCTCACACTAAACCTCAGCCTTATGAGACCTGCCTGGCAGTGAAGTGACCACCAAACAGAGGCCACGACTGCTTCAGTGACACACAGCTGATATAATGGGGGATCCATGTTACACACTCTACTGGCAGGGAGTGCTTTCAGTTACCTGTGTCTCCACGTGATCACAAGGAAGTGAGATGCATATTATTTCTTTTAGGGTCATTTTGAACAGATACAGTACCACCAGAGATTATGGGGATCTGGAGGTATTAAAACACACTGATGTGTGCACGTGTGAGCATGGATTTGGTTTGGTTAAGACCCCTTGTTTTAGAAATAGAATTAATGTGGGATAGTAGGTGAGAAGACTGGACTGAGAGCAGAAGGAAGGGGTGCCCTTCTGGCTGTTGCTTATATGAACGTTGTAGCCCTTGGCAGATATCAAAACTGCAGATTGCAGTGTTCTCCGTAGTGTGCCAAATGAAATTATGACTGTGAAAACACTTTGGAAATGATAAGCTGTTTGGATAGTTAGTAATATAAACAGTATTTCAATCTACAATTGTAGTTTTTAACTTATTAATCTTCCATTGATGTGGTAAAAGACATGTAGCAGGGGTGTGTGTCTGCTGCTATTGGAATGTCAAATGTCATTTAAGACTTGGAAAAGATAAGGTGTCCTCTGGGGCTGTTGGGACCATGTGACACCACTTAGTTCTGTAATAAGTGGTCTCAAACCAGGATACTTTACCTCTTGTGTCTGCTTTTTAGTTTTCTACTGCTAGGCTGTACCTGTTAACTTTAGAAGCACTCGAGTTGAAAGGGGCCTAGAGATTTATAGCCAAACACTTTAATTTTAAAGGTAAAGAAACTGAAGCCCAAAGAGGTTAAATTACATAACAAAATCATACAGCTACTGACAGAACCAAGACTAGAACCCATGTGTTATGTCCTAGTCCCCTTCCCCTTTGTCCTGCCCACTTCCCTTTTCTCCTTACTGATGGCAGTGCACACATCTACTTAGCGGTCTCTTCAGTTTCTTCCATTATTTGCCATTAGTTGAGAAGCTGGTTACACAAACCTTTAACAACTGAATGACTTGGGTTTTCTTCAGTAAAGTTTAAGTTTAATAGAGATTTTCTTTTCTTTTTGTTTGCTTTTTAATTTTCACTGTGGCTACTCAGAGGTCTTTTTAGCTCCTTTTTGAGTTTTGGCCATGAAGTTGGAAAGATACTAGCTGAGGTGGGGAACATAGCAGAAAGTAGGTTGGAGCGGAGAGGGCAGGGGCATCGGTTTGCAAATACTAAATTTCACTTGTCTCTTAGATATCAATGGGGATGTTGAGTGGGCATTTTGGACATATGAGTCAGAAATTTAGAATAGATTTGAGCTACATATATAAGTGGGGGTTAGAAAAAATAAAGATGATAGTTAAAGCATGTAAATCACTAAGAGATTGGTAAGACCTAAGGTGTAGATACAGAAATGCAAGAAGCAAGGCACTCCTGATAAGGTGCTAGGGAAAGGAGGAACCCGCAAAGGTGATTGGAAATTAGTGGCTATTGAGTTTGGGGATATCTAGGAAGACACCACCGGGAACACTAGTGGTATCCTGGAAGGGAAGAGTTTCAAGAAGGGAGCAGCTGACTGTCAAAGCTGCTGGGTATTAGAAAGCTCCCCAGCCCCTTTGGACTTTTTTGTTTGTCTGGGACAGAGCCCTGTGTAGAGTGCAGTATTGACATAGCTCACAGCAACCTCAAACTCTTGGGCTCAAGAGATCCTCTTGCTTCAGCTTCCCCAGTAGCTGGGAGTACAGGTGCCTGTCACAACACCTGGCTAGTTTTTCTATTTTTAGTATAGATGGGGTCTGGCTCTTGCTCAGGCTGGTCTCAAACTCCTGAGCTCCAGCAATCCACGTGCCTCAGCCTCTCAGAGTGCTAGGACTGCAGCTGTGAGCCACCATGCCCGGCCTCCCCTTTGGACTCTCAGCCTTTGGAGTCGAGTTAGTGTGTGTGCACAAGCGTGTACGTTATGCATTCCTTTCCTGCTTCAGGGGTCTGTTAACCTCTCCTATCCCTCTCCATGCTTTTTTTTTTTTTAAACTTTTATTACAAATAAATAGATACTAAACAGAAACATGTTGAAATTTCAGGAAAAAATAAGGAACAGTAATAGGAAAAAAAGTGATTTAATAGGAAGAAGCAAAGACCAGTGAGCCTGTACTTTAGAATCGAAACTGGCCTGAAGTATGCAATGGGCTCATGGAAGTGCTCCATCAGGGATTAGAAATTATCCTGGCTCTACTTCTGCATGTCTCCTGTGGGACCCAGTATAGCTCTTCCCTGCTTCAACTCAGTTTTCTCAGTGGACATGGCTACCATGATCTCATGGGGGCATTGAGTGTTTGGACAAATGGCCCATGGCTCATTCCTAAACTGTGCTTTTGTTTAGCACTACATCTTTCTATGTATATAAAATTCATAGTTCAGGCGTTCAGTGGGCTGGATTTCAGTGCAGCCTCTGCCTGGTTTCTGGCTGCCTTTGCACCAGGTGTCTTCAATATTCTTTGGCGTTTGGGCAGCTTGAGACTTTGTAGGTCTCAGAGATCTCAGGAATTGGCCTCTGTCGTTGCCTCTCCCACCTAATGTGAACTGTCCCACCATTTCTATGCTTCATAAACTTGGCTTTAGGTGACCTAGTTTTACCTATATGTGGGTTCTGTCTGGTTTAGTCCATTTGGATAATGAGGTAGCAATACCCAATTTTATTTTCTGAGTACTAGATTTAGCCATTTATTTTGACGGAAGAGATAGTTCTTAATTGGCTCCTAACTCTTCTTTTTCATAACAGGTCATCTTCCCATTTACCCAGAGTCCTCTGACAGTGTATGCCTGGCTTGGAACTACAGAGACGCCTTGGCAGTCATCTGGTCTCATGAGTGTGTGGTATGTTTCTTTGCTGGTCATACTCATGATGGTGGCTACTCTGAGGATCCCTTTGGTGTGCACCATGTCAACCTGGAAGGAGTTATTGAGACAGCTCCAGACAGCCAGGCTTTTGGCACAGTTCATGTCTATCCTGACAAGATGATGTTGGAAGGGAGAGGCAGAGTTCCAGACAGAATTATGAATTATAAGAGGGAAAAAGCACTCCATTTTTAGTTTGATGTATTTTAGTCTGATCTCAGAAAGAGAATGAGCTTTGTGTTCACTCCTCTCAAAAACAAATTAAAAAGCCTCAGTGTCATTGTTTAGTATTCTACTTGCATAACAAAATGTATTTACGGGTTCAGTGTGCTTTAGTTGATAAAATATTCAGAATTGTCATTTTGGATAATGTCTCCAGTTTAAGTTAGAAAGAAACAATAAACCAGGGAGGAGGCTGAAGTAAGGACATTCTTGTAAGGAATTTTATTTGGCCTTCCCTGAAATTTTTTTACTTTTTATAAGAATATATTCATGTGTTAACTATAACTTAAAATTCATAATTAAAAAAAGCTTGGGTAAACGTTTCTGTTCATCTGTTGTATAAGTGAACTTTGGATGATTTTTGCTTGTAATACCTATACTTAGGCTTTTATAGGCTTGTAGTTCCATTTTACAAACAAAAAACACCAATAGTTACTTCACAGGTAAATGTGTAGTGCTCCCATCTCTGTAAGAAAGGCTTCCGGAGAAGTCACGTGGTCCTCTGATGATAATGAAGCCAGGACCAAGTGGCAGTGCAGCTGTGTGGCTGCTAGTTGGGTCGGTTTGGGCCACCAGCTGATGCTGTATGAGACTACAGTAGGCAAATGAATTTATGCTTTACTCCTTCACAGACAAATGGGACATGTTTAACTCATTTGTCACGGGTGCTAAAGCTTACTTGCACAAACACTTACTAGAAGGCAAATAGGAACTATTCAAGTGTTAAGATAGTGTAAGGCTTAAAGCAGTATGAGAAATATTAACCTGAGTGTGCATGTGGAGCACCTAGCCACTATAAGGATATAAAGGTGTATTCGTGTTCTGTGGCTTCTCTAATAGATTACCACGAACTTGGCGGCTTAAGACAAAATATATTTGTTTTTGGGTTCTAGAGGTCAGAAGTCCAAAATCATTTTCACTGGGCTAAAATCAAAGTGTGCGTGTGGCCATACCCCTTCAGGAGCTCTGGGGGAATTGCCTTCCCTTGTCTTCTCCAGCCTCTACAGCTGCACTTCCTGCATGCCTTGGCTCGTGGCCCCTCCCCCCATCTTCAAAGCCAGCAGTGTAGCATCTTCAAGTCTGTGCCTTGTTGTCAGAGCACTTTCTCTGTGGTGTGTGCAGTCTGATCTCCCCTGGCCTCTTTCTTGTAAGGACACTTGTGATTATACTTAGGGCTCAATCAGATCATCCAGGTAATCCTCATCACAGGATCCTTCATCATATCTGCAAAATCCATTTCATGATACAAGGTAACATATGTCCCAGGGATTATACCTGGCTATCTTTGAGGACCATTTCTCAGTTGACCACAGGGATGACTGTAATGAGCTGTAGTCACAGACCTCACCATGAGTGAGACAACAGCATGGACACAGATGCCTGAAATCTGTCATACTAAGAAAGGACTCAGGGAACATGGAGGAGGAACTTAATTTTGTTTGACAGGAAGAATAGTGGTTTGAATTAACTGGAGAAGAATATCTTAGAATAGCATAAAAGAGGCATCAAAGGACTGAATACAGAAGTAGTAAGTCATGCTATGAGGATTCCTCAAAAGGTGCACGAACAGGGCGGCTAGAACTATGATGTGAAGAGCCTCAAATGTTGAGCCCAGATTTAGAATTTAACTTGGACAGTGAGGAGCCCTCAAGTTTCTGAGCTAGAGAATGAATGATTAGATTTGAGTGGCAATCTAGGCAGCAGATAAGGAGAGGCTGAGGTAGAAGAGGACCAATGGGAAGTAAAAACAACTTTTTTTTTTTTTGAGACAGAGTTTCACAGTGTTGCCCTCGGTAGAGTGCTGTGGTGTCACAGCTCACAGCAACCTCAAACTCTTGGGCTTAAGTGATTCTCTTGCCCCAGCCTCCCAAGTAGGTGGGACTGCAGGCTCCCGCCACAACACCTAGCTGTTTTTTTTTTTAATTGTGGTGGTTGTTTGGCAGGCCCAGGCTGCATTTGAACCTGCTAGCCCTGGTGTAGGCTGGCACTCCAACTGCTGAACTACAGGTGCCGAGCCACAACTGGGGGTTTTGAACAGAACTGTTAAAACTTTACTAATACTTGAATTCAATTGAAAAATAATATTTCTCTTCTTTAATAAAGACTCTTGAAAAGACAGTACCCCACCAAAAGTGCCTTTTACGTGCTTAACTCTGGAGGGGCAAAAGGGACTATGAATATTCCCAGAATTCACAGATAAAATGAACGCACACCTTGAACCTGACTATCTCTTAAGCACAGAAGCAAGCATGACTGGGAGAATGGGTAGGGCCTGATAGAATTTGTAAATGAGTCTGTGTCTTTGTGTATGACTTTAGTAGATAACATTAAAGGAGATATAAAAGCTACAAATACCATGTACGATTTTAAATGTATACAGGAAAACTTGAATCCTTTACATGTATTTTATTGACCATTAAAATAAATTTCACTATTTGAATATCAACTAGATTTTTTTCCCCATTTCTCTCATCTAAACCCCCCCCCTTTTTTTTTTTTTGAGACAGAGTTGTATTCCATTGCTCTGGGTAGAGTGCCATGGTGTCGTCATACCTCATAGTAACCTCAAACTCTT